CACCACACTTTAGCTTGTGAGATCAGCTATTTACTTCACTAGTGATGCCACACGCGATGATCTATCCGTAATAACGATATCCGTATCTCGTTATTACTTCAACCGCGGACGATTTAAGATTCGATTATTTGTAATTTGTATCTCACAATCACAACTCCTTGTGATTAACAAATCACCGAAACTTGAATCTACGGATTCTGTTATTTAATTTATTAGAATATTAATTCAATTAAATAATAGATATTGCCATACATGTATCAATTATATTTAAAGTGTTTATATCCAAAGTTGATTGGATTTAAGGCATAACACTTATATAAAGAACGCTTTTTGAGGCTCATAAGGATGCGACAGAGAATAACACGAGGATTCAAAAACATGTAAGTTAGAATATAAAGGTTGTTTTTTCAAACAACATATAATAAGGACTTTAGTTTTTCAAGACCTTTGTGGATAGGCGATTGACGAGATATAAGTCAAATAGGCCTCAATCCAATAACTTTTAGGTAAGTGTGATTTTGATAACAAGGTTAAGTCAGTTTCTTGGATGTGTCTGTGTTTCCTATCAGCAATACAATTTTGTTGAGAGGTGTGCAGACAAATCAGTCTATGGTAGATGCCATGTTTTGTAAAAAATTCATTAAATTGATTAGATATGTATTCTCCACCATTATCTGATTGAAATTGCTGAATTTGACATGAAAAGAGATTTTCCACGAGAGCTTTATATTTCATAAAAATTGAAAATACGTCAGACTTGTATCTCAAAGGATACAACCAAGAAAAGCGAGAATAGTCATCAACAAACAAAACATAAAACCAAATACCATTAACTAATGGAACTGGTGAGATCCATACATCCGAATTGACAAGTGCTAAAGGTCGCATGGATTGCCTACTTGAATCTGGAAAAGGTAGTTGCTTAGCCTTCCCTAAAAGGCAAGACGTACAGAAACTTCTATTATTTGCAGACTTTTTAGTTGAAAGATAATCTAAATGTGACAAATGATGCAACACAGATTAAGAGTGTCCTCGCCTCTCATGCCAAACTGACAGATTAGCTTTGGTTCCTATTTGAGTTGTGAGATATCGTAGATTATTTGATTTGCTCTTGTGACCAGCAATAGGATAGAGGCCATTCTCAACTAATTCGTGAAGTAAAAGCCGTCCTATTTGATTCTCCTTAATAAAGAAATCAACTCAAGTAAGTACAAAGTAATAGTTATTGTCCTGCAAAGTTTATTAACTGACAAAAGATTGGTAGAGGCATTAGGACAATGTAGAACTTTTGCGAGTTTCAAAGAAGAATTGCCAAGATTAAGGAAAGAGGAACCTATGTGTTTAATAATAAAACTTGAACCATTGCCTACAGTGACAGATTCTTTTTCCTTCATAGGGTTGTTGAGCCCTAAGAGTGGCAGCATTGGGGGTGATGTGGGCGTTAGCATCACAATCTGCATATCATGTCTGTTGCTCATAATCATTGTTAGCTTTAGCAACCATAGCTGCGAGGTCTGCAAGAGCTAATGTACCTCGGTATGAGAAATTGAAGCGGTGATAGCAATCTAAAGCAGTGTGTCCTCCCTTTCCACAAATTTGACTGGTAGGGCAATTACTCTGAATGTTGTTGTTTTGCTGTTAGTGGTTTTGCTGTTAGTGGAAGGAGTGTTCGTCACAAGTCTGCCAGATTGAGTTCCATATTGTTGTGGATGGGCAAAGCTAGTCTGAGGCTTCGATTTCTTCATAGTAGTAGGAAATTTTTGCTTTATTGCAGCCAAATAAAAATGCAAATCAGGTGCCTGATGGGGTTGAAAATCAAGGAGAGATTCAAAGCTGAGTAATTCAGCCTGAAAATCATCAAGAGTGAATTCTTTTTCACTGGTCACCGTGTTGAAAGTGGTGATAAATGGAGTGAAAGTGGTTTGCAAACCACTAATCAGATGACTAATGAGATCTTGATCATTGACCTTCTTTCTTGCACCTACCAGCTGATAGGACAGAAACTTGGCCTCTTCAAGGTAACTGGTACAAGATTTGCTACCTTGGGTGATTGTTTGTAACCGTCTTTTCAGTAGAGCAATCCGGGATCGAAAGGTTGATGAAAATTTGCCCGTGCTAGCATTCCGTACTTGTTTAGATGTTGGCAGATCATAAGCAGTACCAACAAGCTTTTGGGAAATTGAGGCAAGAATCTAGCTCAAAACACAATTATATCTGCAATACCATGTAGTGTAAGCTAGATTAATAGTTTTATCTGGTAGTATCTTAGCTGGAGCAAGCTCAGCTCCATGGACAAGTCCAATCATATCACGACTCTTAATAAAAACAAGAAACTAGGTCCTCCACGGAAGATAATTGGGGCCATCCAGTTTCTCACTAACAAGTTGGAAGATGTTGTGAATTGGTGAAAGTGAAACACGTGGGAGGTCATTGGAGGTTGAGGAATTGGAGTCCTTTGAAGCCATTGTGTGCAGGAAAGAGATGCGGAAGCGAGATCGGAATCAGACGTTTGCCTAGCTATTGGCTGATACCATGTAAGATAAACACAAAGTATATGGAGAATATTTTGAATAGTAGGCTTATCAAGTCTTGTGTACTGATTCTGACTTTATACAAGTTTACACGTAACAAAATTCAGAGATTAAAGGAATCCTAGTAGCTATACAATAGCTAGTGGAGTGTTTAACAGAAACAAAGCACATTTGAATCTCCTAAACTAATTCAAAGATTTCACAGTCTCTTAAACTAATTCAGATATTCTATAGATTTTGCTCACCAGATGATTGACTTTGTTCAATTATTCTAAGAAATGTTCTCTTATCTAGAGTTGGTCGATATCAAGAAATTTAGTTATTATCCATATTTGATTTACTGCTTTAAATACGAGTCGTAAACCTTATGACAATTAGTTGGTTTTATTATTATATTATTCGCGAGAAGTTTCATTTAAATAATATATCTTTCTTGACATTCGTGAGCTAATTTACAAGTTTGGGTTTTTAGTGAGATTTTATTTTGTTTATTAGCTTCCGCTGTGTCATATAGTCATAGAAAGTAAGTTCAAAGCCAAAAGAACATATTTTTGAAGAATTTCTATGTAATAGGATAGCGGGTGGTTCTTCCACAATTTTGTGAACTCAAGATTATTATTGTTTTTTTTTTTTTTTTTTCCTCTTTATGAAAGGAGTGTAAGATTACAAATGATCTTCGTTCTCACCCTAAAAATAAAATAGTTCATAACTAATAGAAAAATACTTTATTTAACTTTTGTTTGATTCATATTATTTTCAAAATATATTTTTCTATCTCTTTTTTTTAATTACACATTTTTCAATAAAATAATATTACACTCAAATTCAATTTTTTTTTTTAATTTTTTGACCACACATTTCTAATCACTTTATTATTTCAAAATGCATTTTTTCAATAAAATGGAGCTCTATTTAGGGTGGGAGTATTACAAGTAGAAAACTAAAAATTACATTCTATTTGAGATAAATATTTAAAAAATAATTGAAAAAGCATATCCCAGACCACCCGTGCCGGTGACCCTTTCACCGTACTCTAATCAGCCGCCGCCGCCGCCGCCGAAAATCACTGGCTTTTTCAAAAATTCCCCTCCTTTTTTTTTTTAATAGCGCCCGAAACTCTCGTTCAATACTCTTAACAAATTGAAAAGTATAAATTAAAGGGCTGAAAATACAATTCCTTAGATGGTTGGGGTGGGTTTTCAGAGGCTTTCAGAGGGAATGTGAGAGTGGGTATTTGACAGCCTGATCAAGAAATTAAGCTCTTTTAGCCAGTCAAAGGTACAAAAATCTTCAAAGAGTGATGGACCTCAAGCCTTTTTATCAAGACATAGATGAGCTTATAAATGATTTTGCTAAGGTATTACTCGTAAACAAGATTACCATTTTTTTTTAGTGGCGCAGAAATTCATATTTACGTAAATTTTCTTTTGTGTTGATTTTATAGAGTGGATCAACTACTTTTACAGAATTCAAGAGAATATGGCTTTCGAAAAAATTCTCGTTTATGTTTGAGGCAAGCCCTTCCACCAACCATGCTTGCTTTATGCAGTCATTATATGCACACTCCATTGGTATGCTGTCTAAGTGCTTTGTTCCGGAGTATTTACATGGTTGTGGGTTTCAATTAGTTGATTATAGTGTCACTATGGAGCTTTTGATGTTTAGATTACAGAAAAGTTTTGTGGTTATCATTATATAAAAGTTTAGATTACATTGAAATTTGATCTTTTCTGACTTTTATATGAATTATCCTTGATGTAGTCGTGTAGAGCTTTCAGCTTAGATGATTGGTGGTGTTTTACTGAAATGCAGGCTATATGGTGTCAACTGGTTCTCTTCCAAATGGAGTGGGCGGGCTGTATTGCTCGTACTGTTTTTATGAGGCTCAGCCATTCAAGCCACCTTTCAAAATTTACTTATCTCTTGGTAAGATTCAACCTCTATTAAATTGAATTGTCTTAAAATTTGGATTTCTGCTCATGATGTATCATTCTTATATGCTAATCCTTAAATTTAAAGTCAAATTCTGCTAGATATAGTAGTACACAATTTTTGAATCCACATAATGAGGCTTCAATACCAACAAAGTTGTGGTGTGACAATCAAGCTGCTCTTCATATTGATTCTAATCATGTGTTTCATGAACGAACTAAGCATATTGAGATTGACTGTCGTTTCGTTCGTGAGAAGATACAACGGAATTTTATCTCTATAAGATATGTGAAAACTGGGAACAACTATGAGATATTTTCACAATGGCTCTAAATGGGATTCGAGTTGATTATATTTGTAACAAATTGGGCATGATTAATATCTATACTCCAACTTGAGGGAGACTGTTAGTGTAAATAAATCCTACAACCTGTAGAATTATATAGAGATACCATTTATTGATGACAATCTTATTGCTTGGTATTGTTTAGTCAAGAGATTTGTTTTGGTTAATATTTACAGAAATAGAAGAAAATACAAGTGTGGTTTGTTGGCATTTCTCAATAACTGTGTTTTCCTGTTATAAATTCCAACCAGAGAGATTATTATTGGTGCCATGGATACTTTGTGCTTGAATAGGATTCTTAAAACTATTTGAAAGAGAACTCCTGGGGACGTTTCCTTGAAAAAGTTTGCCACGTAACATGGCACGCGGTCTCCATTGGAAGAACTAGGACTAAGAAGTTCTTGTCATGATCAAATATACTTGTCCCTTGATTGAAGAATTGCTCATCAATTTGTATATATTTACGATCAAATTAGTTACTTTCGTGTAGTTTTTTTGAGTTCATAGAATGGATTTTGCTCATTGTTGATTCTATAATCGGAAAAATGTTCATGTAGTTTGATATTCAATGCTCAAAATCTTCACTTTCTCCCATTCTTCCTAGCTAAAGTTCTTGATGAAATTGTATAAGCTGAAAATGTTAGTTCAACACTGAGGAATGACCGTAGCAGTAGTAATGACACGTGTAGAAATACTCACAACAAGTCTCTTAGCATCCATAATTGCAGGTGGTAGCATATTGGTTAGCCAATATAAAGTTTTATGCCAATTGATCATACCACACCAATTCATAAAAGTGTCTCCTTACACGTCCTTTTGTCATTTGACCCAAAGAACTGAGAGTCTTATTGTTGGAATGGATTCAAAAAGAATGGTTTATGAGTAATTGTTTATTTCATGTCATAATTCTAATATTCGGACACACTTAATATTTGCTAGAGATGAATTTAGAAGTAATAGAATTACAAGTTTTCCTTTCATAATTTTATGACTTCCAAGTAGGTCTGATTATAATGGCTGGTGACAGAGTTGGTTATAATGCGAATAATTCGATAACAGTCAAATATGTAGCTTTTATTTTCCTGTCTCACAGCCTTCTGCCTTTCACGTCATATCTCGATTTGCCTTATACAGGAGACATGAAAAGGATTAAGTATCTCGTTGTAGACACAAAGACAAGAGACATAAAAGTTGTTTCTACTTTGGTCAAGAGAATGCTAGAGAGGAATGTGTTTCTTTTTGGTTCTGTGGATGCGAATGAATGCTCTGCAACAGAGAGAATAAATGAACTCACAGAAATACAGAACGCTCGTGTCCAAGCTGCGTATAAGATGTAAGTTCTGAGCTCTTTCAACTTTTTTCCAGTTTCATAGAATTGTTGGCCTTCACCCTTTTTCACTTGGCTGTATCTTATGTGCCATTTTTTATTGAATAGGTTATTTGCGGAAACAAGGCTGGAGAAATTCATCCACATGGATTTGGTGAGTTTCATAGTACCTTGTAGATAATTTTAGAGATTCTTATCTGCTGTGCTTTGGGTAGAGGAGATATCATGCAGTGAAAACTGTAACCTGTGTAATTCTAGTAGAAGCAGTAATTGATTCAGGAATATCAAACTTTGCTAGCTGGAAAATATTCTTGAATTATATTTTTTTCCAAACTGTTGGAGTTGCCCAGATATGGGAGGTAACAGTAATATATCAACGATAAATACCTCTGATTTATGTGTTACAGCCCAATTTTGACATAGAAATTTAAAGTCAATGACAATTTGAATAGACTTTGACCCATTTATTTTTATTCCTATCTGATTCTCTAAATTTGTGTAACCTTACGTTGCCCGCTGGTAGCTTGGTGATCAAGTACTAAGCTACTCATCCTGTTGGTTATGGATCCTGTTAGGTCACTTAGCTTCAGGATATACCTGAGACATTCAGGCAGTAATTTATGTGTTACAGCCCAATTTTGACATAGAAATTTAAAGTCAATGACAATTTGGGCATGTAAATGAATTATTAAGTCTAGTTATTTTGTTGATGTGGCAAACTACGTTTTTCCACTTTTCACTTGGGATACCTAACTCTATAAAATGGTGCAACACAACTCAATCTACCTATGCTGAGCATCATTAGATACCAGTACTTTTGCATCAGTTCGATACCTATGCTAAGCATCAATATTTTTTCTTTTCCTTTTTTTTTAAGAATAAAGGTTAATTAACCGAATGGCAATACTTTATATATGTGCATAGGCAGATTTAAGTGGGTTCATGTGGTGTTAACTGACCCCACAGATTTGTTTATTTATTTATTATTTTTCCCCTGTTTGCACAATTTTTTTCTTTAAAATTGTCTCCTAACTTCTCTCTCAAGCCCCGAATCTCATTCTTTCATCCAAGATCTAGATTTGTCATTTTTACCAAATAATCCTTTTTCTACTTAGCTCATCTGCACCGGCGTTAGTGTCACATTTTTTCTCCACCTCAAGGCCAGACGCTTCAAGACCATATGGTTTGAAACATGTCCTATTTTGCCGATCCAACGACTTTTAAAATTTGTAAAAAAATTAAAGTTATGGAGCCAACTATTGATTAAATTTTTGTTATGAATGTACGGTCCTTCTATTTATATCAATTTTTATTCAGGTATATGCTTGAGTTCTTGCATTATTGAGTATTTTTGCCAATTTATTTGGTAGAAAATGGGTTTGTGCTTTGTGCTTATTAAATTAATTTCCTATGTAATTTTCAGCATTATTCGGTTTTCTATTAGTCGTCTATCTAAATGTATGTTTTGAATATATTTATCCATTACGATAAAATTAATAATGTAAATATGTAATTTTAGTAATTGCATTTTTGTTGAAGACATTTGTGTCGATTTCAAGTTCTTACTTTGATCTCACTTCCAAGATAAGCAATGGTTCGCCCTAACTTGGTGGTTTTGAATTTTATATCCCCTTATTTGCCCAAGAGATCTTGAATAGAAGACTGCTATAGAATCAACTGATATTGCTATTGAATTCCATGCTTGTCTTAGTGCTACAGAGGCAGTAGCAGTAGAAAGACGCAATGTTTAGAATCCTCTAAGGGTTTTAATGGACGAGGNAGAGATCTTGAATAGAAGACTGCTATAGAATCAACTGCTATTGCTATTGAATTCCATTAAATTCATTGTTTTGACTTTTATTTTATGGAATTGATTGTTTACTGTTGTGATCTAATTATATTGGAACTTTTTCGTTTGTCTATTGAAATTGATTTTGTTCTTATGGTTGGAATTATTATTTAAAATAGATTAACATTCATTTATGTTGAGTTTCATGTCAAATAATTTAAAAAGATAATAATTTAAAAGAAAATCTCTATTTTTGAGTGATGAAATGAGTGTTTAATAGAAAAAGATGTTTGGGAAAAAATATTTATGACTTAATTTTTGACCCCACGGTGAAGAATGTCTGGCTCCACCACTGTATACATGAATCAGAGGTTGGCTGATCTATTTTGACTTGGTGCCAGAAATCTTTGGTTGGAACTTGGGATGTTTTATAAGCTTGTCTTTAGATTTGCACATAATTCAATCAATCTTCTATTAAAAAAGATGCTAATTTAATTTTTTTCATCTTACCAAAAGGGAAGGGAACTTGATGTTGATTTGATCAAGAAAAAAGAAGCAGAATATGCAGTTGCCATGGAGCTATCCATCAGAGGTACCATACTATCTTTTTTGTGAAAATCACTATTGCGTTTTAATTTAAAATTTTCATATTCTTGTGCATTAAATGCATGAGTAATCTGTTCTTCTGTGAAATTGCTCCCATACTGATATGGGGTAGAATCTCAATATATGGGAAGCTACTGCTGTATTTCATCAGTACAGTACAAAATTGTTCCTTTTAAAGATGAGAAAACTATGATTTAACTGAACTATGACTGGTTTTGGAATTCTATATCTTTAAATGAAAAAGATTTTGATAAACTGTGAAGAGGAAGAATATGTTTTAAATTTATAGCTGTAAACACTTCTTATATATGATCCTTGTTGGCTGTTGTTTTCGTTACTTATTTTCGCCTTCTACGTTCCTCTGGCAATATGTCAATCAAATTCAATAGTTTGCCAACTATTATTTCTTTTCTGTTAAAGAGGCCAGCAAGGCGATAGATGTACAAAACGTAAAGCACATAGCAGAAAACAAGATATCGATTGTGGACACAGTGGAGAAGATTGCTTTAGATTGGAATTTTCAGAAAGAATCGTTTTATAAACAAACAGGATTTGGTTATCAACCTGCTGCAGAACGCTCACAGAACCACGAGACTGAATATTTTGAACAGCAAAGTTCCGATAAGAATGTCGACCAAAATGAAGTCTTAGAAAATATTGACAGTCGAGAAGTCAATGAGATGTTTGAACGGCGGGAACAAAATGATGACTTTGGTGATGAACTAGAAGTTCTTCTATCTCAACGTTTCGAAAGTGATAATGAAGAAACTGAAGAAAATGAGCAATGGGAGGAAGATGAGAAGTTAGAAGAATAGAGAAAAACAAGAGATTTTATCAGACAGAATAAAGATGAGGACAGAGCTTCAGTGAAGAATCGAGAGGAGATTATTCTGTTCTATATTGGCAAGATTTTAACAGGGCATTGCATTTTGCTCACTACTGAACCTCAATTTTTTGGCATCTGGCCAAGCTGGATCAGAAAATAGACGACCCTAGCTAGGCCGATCAGGCAAGGGGGATCGGAAAATCAAACCATTGGGTTGGGTTGGACAAGGTACTTCAGAAGATCAAAGTTGTGCTTCCAGTAAAGAAGGGCTCGAACCTTTTATGCCCATGTAACGTATTCATAATGATAATCACCTATGAGCGTTAATTTTCTCGAGTTTTCTTTTAAATTTTGCCCTCTCTTCCCCAAAGCAGACTTGAGCCAATGATCTGATGAGACTTTGCTCTTATCACTTGAACTAGGTTTTGATCTCATATATA